ATGAACTTAGTGTCCTTTAAAAGGCTCCACCGTGGTTGCATGCATGATGGCTGATCCTCCTGTCTCCCAGTGCTCAAACCCATGGAAAACACTGTCCTGCAGTCTCCTCACAAGGAGCAGTCATCTTGAGCACATGTGGGCAATCTCCTGACCTTTCCTTACCTGGAGAGGTTTCAAGGTTTACTCACCGGTTCCTTGGTCTTTCCCATCATTGTTGGCTCCATTTTTGTGGAGCCGTCTTCAGTTTGCCATACTTCCCCCAGAAGTCTGGAAGAGAGAGTTATTTCTGAAAAATTTATTGAACCAAGAATTCAGCTGAGCTATGATTCAAAAAAGACTCCCTCCCTCCAACAAAACTTTGATTAATACAATCCTCCTCCATTTTGATTAGTGTTCTTGGTTGGGATGGATATGATTGCCTGGACTTCTTACCTGTTGCTTTTATAATCCCCTCATCTTTTTATTCTTTCCAACCAAATTGAATGTTGGAAAGAAATTAGGTAAAGGGTTTGGGATTCTGTCCATCTTCAGGATAATTCTCTGAAAACAGAATGGAACCAGATCAAATCCGGGTTGTGGGAGAAGCTGGCAAAAGAAATACTGAATTCAAACATGGGTTGAATCTGGCTAGGGGCTACAGAGCAAAAAATCCAGAAAGAATATTGCAATGAATCCCTATGGGAGAGGCATGTGGGCAGTAACTCAGAATGTTCTGACTCCTCCTTTCTAACCCCCCCCTCCATGTGACCCAGAAACATTGCTGTTATTAAAGGGTTGGAAAGCATTCTAGAACCCATGCTCTGTATACTTTCCCTGCCTCATTTAACAAGCTGTTACTCTAGTTGGATAACCTTGGCATTACAGGAAAGTAGTAAGAGTGTGGGAAATTTCCATATGAGAATGTTCAGCATGAAAGTACATTCAAAAGTTACAAAAATAAAATGTTTTGGAAGTAGGTCAAGAGGCTAAACAAGGAGCCTTCAGCAGAGTGTATGGAGTTAAAAATAAAAGTTATGAAACTGAAGTGAGGGAAAGGTTGAAGAACTATTTCAGAAATTTGTACAGGTAGTCCTTGATTAACTATGGTAATTGGGACCGGAATTTCTGTTGCTAAGTGATGTGGTCATAAAGCGTGATGTCATGTGACCACATCACTTAGCGACAGCAGTCCCCATTGCTGTTGGTAAGTGAGGTTTGCTGGTTGTTAACTGAGAAACTCCTCACAAATTCCTGGCAGCTTCCAACAACCAAAGTCAGTGGGGAAGCTGGCAGGAAGTTGCAAGTCCCAGGCAGCTCACAAGAGGCTGGCAGGCAGGCAGGCAAGTGGCTGCTGCTGGGTGGGGGAGGTTGCACAGGAGTGTGTGGGTGCGGTGTAAGTGTGGCAGGACATGGGGTGGCTGCTGCAGGGTGTGGGAGGACATGCGAGGGTGCGCAAGGGGTGCGTGCGGTGTGCAAATGTGGGGCTTAGGGTGGCTGCTGCAAGATGCATGAGGGTGAATGAGGGGTGTGGTGGGGTGGCTGCTGCAGCGTGTTCGAGGGCGTATGAGGAGTGGATGCGGTGTGAGCATGGTGGGGCTTTGGGTGGCTGCTGTAGGGTGTGCAATGGTGTGTGAGGGGCAGGTGAGGCAGGACTTGGGGTGGGTGCTGCAGGGTGGGGTAGTGCTCATGAGGGGTGGGCCTAGTGGGGCTTGGGGTGGCTGCTGCTGGGTGGGGGAGGGTTTGCAAGGGGCTGGTGTGGCCCAAGTGTGGCAGGGTGGAAGATTTACTAGAGTATTCTCCATTGACTTTCTTGTGGGAAGCCGGCAGGGAAGGTCGCAAATGGTAATCACTGACTGCGTGATGCTGCAAGGGTGCTGGGATGGCCAGAACTTCAAGGACCAGTCATAAATACCACTTGTTCAGCACCGTTATAACTTTGAATGGTCGCTGAATGAGTGGTCATTAACTGAGGACTACCTGTATAGCAATGATAGTGTTATGTTGAAGATGAAATTGAGACAAATGTTATAAATACTGGTGTCTAAGAAAAAAATAATAGAAAGGAAGTCATAAATGCTGCAGATGGTAAAACTGCAGGTTTTGATTGTGCTGCTAGAGAAATGTTGAAATATGGGTGTGGTTTGCTTAAGTAGTGGCTTGCAACTTATTTAATGTGTGTGAAGACTGCATCTGTGCTGGCGGTTGGGAGAACGTCTTCCCATAGAGAGTGGGAAAAGCAGCAAGAGGTAAATGCAAAAGTTATAGGCAGTTAGTTTGTAAAGTGTGCCTGGGAAAGTATTTGGCACAATTCTGGTAAAAAGGATACGAGAGGTGTCATTGAGCAGAATTTGGGAACTGTGTGAAACTTTATGCTGGGCAGAGGGGTGTGCAGATCAGAGTTTTGCTGTTCAGCAGGTTACTGAGAAATGTATACTGCTTTAGAGAAAGCTTATGAGAAAGTAAATAGGCTTGAATTATGGAATGCTTTGCAGAAATATGAAGTAGACGGCTTGTTGCTGAGTGCGATGAGAGGTGTATATAATGGGAATGAAGCATGTAAGCAAATAAATGGAATATCCAAGATCAACGTAGATTGGTTTGGCAGGGAAAACGAAGTGAAAGGTTGCAAGTTAGATGTAAATGGGAAAAAAGTAGAGCAAGTATATGAAAGGTTGTACCATGATAGAATATTTACTAAAGATGGGGAAGTGGGTGGAGAAATTTTAAGACATAGAAATGTTGGTAGCGAGGATGTTATATTGATCATACATGGTCTGTTGTGAAGAATGAAAATCACTTCTTCCTGCTTTGTTATATGGAAATGAGAGTTGGGTGAATCTCTCAAGAGAATCATCAAAGAAAGTTGAATGCAGTGGGAATGGAATAGTTCAGCAAAGTTTAGGGTAAACAAGAAGCTGCAGGGTCAAGTATGAATGGGTGATGAATGTATGTGGATTAAATACAAATGTGAGTGACCAGTACAAAAGGCAGCATATGGTAAAGTGGTATATGGATATGCTGGAAGCAAGGATGAAAAGTATGGAGCGATATAGTGAATGGTTTGGCATAAAGTAGATTTAACCAGGGTTTCCTTTTCTTTTTCTTGGCTCGTGCCTTTAATTTCTTTGTCTTATTGTTAATCCTCTTCCAGTTCTGCATAGCATTGCTTACCCTAAAAGGGAATAGCATGATGGGCATATATGTATGTAAAGTCAAGATTGCTGGCTGCATTTCTCATTACAGGAGAACCATGGGAAAAAAAGACTATACTGGTTATGGCTTTAGGATTTTTGCCTGTATTATCTATACTTTCTTGATGACCAGCATAAAAAAAGGTTTTGTGTGACATGAGATGGGCAGTGTATCTATGCTTTTATTTCTACAATTTTATATTCTAGGTTGTCCCTAAAGAAATGTTGGATGGACTGCTAAGTGCCTGTCAGAGTGGTTCTTTTGAAAAGCTGGAAGCGGTAACAAAGGTGTGTCCTTAAGATTTTAAAGAGATAGCAAGTAGGATTTTGTTATATAGGACATTCTTTTCTATGCTGATAGGTGGTACATGGTATAATTACGTAAGCACATTGAAACTAAAAACTGCCTGCCTTTAAGCTAATCTTGTGTCAATGTAACATGAACTGCCTGACATTTATTTGGCTTATGACCTTAGGTGGAAAAGCACTCCTAAGGGGAGAAGTACAACTCCCTAGAGTTAATTCACTGCCCAGCTCACTTTGCACAGTAAGGCTCCTTCCAAGTTATTTTTGTGTGATCTTATAGCAGGAGCTTGATTAATGTCCAGCTTCAGCATATCTTTTGAACAATTAAAGGTGGCAGGTACTAGAAGTACATGAAAACTGTTACTCTTACGTTTTGTGCTCCATGTTTCCTTCCATGAAGTCTTGTACTCTTATATATTTTTCTCCTGGTCTACTTCTAAGGAGCTATGATAAGATAAAAATAGAGAGGTGACTCTGTTCTCTTTCTCTGAGTTGGCTGGTCTCTTTGCTTTGCATGTGCCTCTGAACCCAAGACTGGCTTGGGATAGTTTTCCTCTGTATAGACTGCATGTGTGCATGTGGCTGTACACGACTTTAGAACTGAAGGGGAAACTGCTTTGGAGTATGTGCAGTATGTGTACATGTAGCTCCTGTCAGTCTCATAAAGCAAACGTGCCCTTTCCCAGGATTGTGCTGCAGAATTGCTGGCAAATGCTACGTGAGTGCCCCTGCGTGCTCCAGATTCTCTTTGACATAAAAGCACAGCGTAGCCCGTGTGCTTGGTGTGGGTAGGTGTTTTTGCCTGTGTCAGGGTATTCTCTAGTCATTACTAGTTTGTATTCCACTGCAAAGTGAGCGTTGGGCTCTTAGGAACAAATACGGTATTTGGCAATCAGGGTTGAAATCTCTCTCTCGATCATGTATTTAGTTTCTTGGGCAAGTCTGTTTTGTGTTCATCTGTTTATTTTTTTGTGAAGTGGGCCTTTGGGGTAGAAAGCTGTAGGTTCAAAAGAGTAGCATTATGTTTTGGAGACCCTTCTCTGCCTTGGACATATATTTGAGGATGGCTTTTTTTAAAGCTTCAGGAATTTGTTTTCTGAGAAATGGGTATTTGTGACAGGTGGTATCTTTTATGGGCAAGCATTTTATGAATGAGCAAACGTACCCTCCCCCATGCAGTTACTCTGTTATTTTATTATAATTTGATATAAAATCCACTGGCTCAAAATAGTTGAGTAGCTCATGTAGATCAAAGGGAGAATGAATGGAAGTGATTTTCCTAAGCAGGTATTTTCTGAGACTATGCAGATAAGATTCCTACTTCGAACAAGAATTTGTGATTTTTTTCTAAAGCAAATTCTCTATTCTTATGGGAGCAATTTAGTTTCCACATATAGCTGGAAGTCTTGACAACCCCCTCCCCCCTTGTATCACTATTGTCTCAGATTCTGTAATGATGTTGCCAGTGGTAGCAATTTCTCACACTCTGTAAGAATAAAGCAGTGATCTGCCTTGGAGCTAAGCAAATACAAAACCAGAATAGATTGCTTCTCTGTTTGCAAGAGTCTTCTGCAGGAACACTGAGGAGGATGGTAACAATTCCTCTTTAAAAATAGAGCAAGTGTCCATACTCCTGGTTGTCTTCTTCAGATTGTTAAACTTTGAGATGGAATAGATTCCCTGTGGAGTCTCCCTTAACAGTTACAAGATTGGACCTTCTTAGTACTTAGCTCATAGGGATGTGCCAGAAACTCCTTCATGTATATTCCAGCCAAGTAAGGCTTCTGGTTAACTCAAGTTGTTAGTAAACCAATTACCTTATTTATGCTTAAATATTATTAAACAATAGTACAGTAGTAGCGTTCAATGATATAAAATCATCTCCCATTGTCTGAACCATCAAATAACCCGATTTGATTTGGTGTAGATTTGAAGAAGGCCTAGTTTGATCTAAATTTGTGAGTTAATAGTCTGTGGCAAATTAATTTGATTCACACCACTTTGAGATTCATTGATTTGAAAAAATTATTCATGGGCATAATGAAGAAAATTCAAGATGTCTGAAGCTGCTTCACTTTTGGACAGAATGGGATAAAAATGACAAGAATACCAAGTTTCAATTGGATATCTTCAACACTTCTTATTTTTTATTTTTTTTTAATATCTCTCTGTGCCTCTTTTAGGGCAGAATGAGGAAGGAGCAGCATATTGCCCTCCAAACACTCCAGCCCGTAGAGGAGCAGAAGCTAAATCAAAGCAGAAAGTGTCCTACTCCAAATTAAAAGTACAAACTTTCAAAAGCTGTAATTACCATCCCATTTCTGGGTGCCACAGGCTTGCAGTTTGTTGCCTCTGATTGCTGGTTTTGGGGGGATGCCAGGAGAAGGGACCACACTGGCTGTCAAGCTTTGCTCTTCCTGAAAAAGACTGTCTTGTCGCTGGCCTCAACAGGATGCCTGGCTGGGCAAGGCACACTGGCAAAGGTTGACCTCTTTGAGGGAAGAATGACCACTGACTGGGCTTGTGGGATGGTATAACTTTGCTGTCTCTAATCATGGTTTTTTGGGATGCTTGGAGGGGGGCATAGCTGGTTGGCAAGCTTGGTGAGTTGAGCCTCCAGATGTCTTGGTGAAACCAGCATGGAAGTGCAACATTCCATCAGCACAAGAAGGAGTCAAGCTGGCATTTAGAAAGTTGAGAGCTAAGTAAATGAATGCAACCCCAAGTATTGACAGTCTTGCCATTCTTAGAGAGCTCTTCTAGGCAGAGAATTTAATGAAATGATCTATTTCATTGGCTGTTGTTCATGTCTGTCAGAGAGCCCATTACATTACTCAAGTTCCCATCCCAGCATTGCTCCACATAAGAAATTAAGATCTGTAAGAATACCAAAAGTATCAGGAAAAAAAATCAGATCCCCAAAGGTGACTTTGGAGTCGCCTGATTCACATGTGTCTTTAAAGTTCTGCTTTGTGATACATATTAATTCAACTGAAACTCTGTTTAAATGTATTATCCCTTGCAAGCTCCGCATAGTCCTCATTTGTAATGTTTCAAGCAAGTCCATGGGCAGTTTATATATCCTAGTAAGGAATTAATAGTTGAGTTTAGTATCTCCTGGCTTTTTGCTATATAGGACCAGGAGTACTTGCACTGGGGTTTAAGCCAATAATAACATTAAACTATTCTAGTCTTAAGTCAATAATAACATCCAGCTGTTAATACTAGTCGCTTTCCTTATTTGTTCTTCTCTGCCTTGCTTATAGAATGTGATCAGTGAAGGCTATGCAGCTACTCAACTTATAAATCAGCTTCACGATATCATTGTTGAGAAAGAAGACCTCAGTGACAAGCAGAAATCTGTGATTGTAGAGAAATTTGCTGTAAGTCTTAAGTACTTGCATTCAAGCTTTATTGGAGGCTAATGAAACACATGGTTAAAAATGAACATGAAGCATTAAGGATGTTACTTGTGAGAAGTTGTACTTTAGAAGTCACACACGGTAAGAGGATCATGAGGAATTAACTTGATAGTTTGGTATCTGTGAGGCTGTTCTCCTTTTATGGCAGTGAATAATAGTTGAGACAAGCTAGGAGGACCCAAAGAAAACAGCTTCAGAAATTCTTTTTGGTGGTGGTGGTTGCAATTTCATCAACTTTCCTGTGCTCTCTTTTTGCTCCTCAGTAGTAACAAGATGAAAAAATATTGAGAAGTGTATAGTGTATCTGTGCATTAATGTGTTTGCTTGATTCCCCTAATTTAGACAAATGTCTTTAGTAATATCAGCTAATATTACTGCCATAGAGACACAGGAAAGGCCAAATGAAAACAATGCTATGTAATTGAGCCTTCTTCAACCTGGTGCCTCCAGATGGGTTGGACTATTTCCATGTTAGCTGGAAATTTTGGTAGGTATAACCTAAGTAAATCTGGAGGACCCAGGTTGGAGAAGGCTGGACTGGCACACTTTTCTTTTCTGGCAACTAGAATGGTTGTCTGAAAGATTTGCTAAAAAAAATGTTTCTTTTTTTTTTTAATTTGGTATGCAATTTTAATAAATTGTTCTGATACGTTCATTGTTTTGGTTATATTTTATACAAGTCACACATCCTAATAAAATAGAGACGTATGTGTGCAGATAGTCCTGGTTTAAGAGTGCTAATTGGGACCCAAAACTCTGTCATTAAGTGATTTCATCCTCCCCTAGAATACAAAACCTTTGATATATATTTTTCAAGGGAGGAGGAAATATATCTGCTAACGTTTCTGTTTTATGCCCACCAAGTATGGTTATCACCAGACCTGGAAAATCTTGAATATTTTGTTTTGTTTTGCAGGAAGCAGACAAGTGCTTGGCAGATGGTTCTGATGAGTTCTTGCAGTTGATCAGCCTCTGTGCAGTAGTGATGCAACAGCTAATTCAGAATAGCTAACTGTAGGGAATAAGTGTCCTTTTGCTATAATAGACTTTTTCTCTGCAGTGTTGGCACACTGTTTGCAAACTGTTCTGTAAATAAAGGTAGTCAGAAAAAGACATTGCTATGGATTTTCATCTTGTCACTTCCATTTTAGCTTTTTTTGTTTGGCTTCATGTTGCTGATGCAAGCAAGAATCTAGGATATTTTTCCTTCTGATTTACATATACAAGCCATCTGGTGATGAGGCTGTGCTTGCATGGCATGCTAAAATAAAAGCTGTGGTTAACAGGCCATATTATTATAATAGCGAGCCAGTTCGGTGTAGTAATTAAAGGCATTAGGCTAGAAACCAGGAGACTGAGTTGTAGTCCTGTCTTAGGCACAAAGCCAGCTGGGGTGACCTTGGGCTAATCAGTCAGCCCTAGGAAGCAGGGAATGGCAAACCACTTTTGACATCTTGTCAGGAAAATGCAGGGATTAGTTCTGGCACTCGAGTCAGCACTGACTTGAAGGCACCCCCCCCCAAAAAAAAAAATTGGTCACAAAACACAAAGATATATGGCTTTAGCTTAGGGCAGCAATTCTCAAAACACTTTGATTTTAGGACCCCTTTACATTCTTTGAGGACCCCAAAGAGCTTTGGTTTATTTTGGATTATATCTATCAATATTTATTGTATTAGAAATTAAAATTGAGAATTTTTAAAATATTCATTTGATTTTGCAGACCGCCTGGAAGGGTCCTGAAGACCCCCAGGAGTCCCCAGACCACCCTGAGAATTGCTGGCTTAGGGTATGTTGATGTTCTCAGTCATCCAGGTGGAATTATCTGGAGGTTGAATCATGATGGCAACTGGACGTTATTAAAAAATAGTTACTAATTCTATAAAACCTAACCCTAAGGCCTTAACTTTTTAAATCTGAGGCTCGTTTTGTGGATCATTTGATAAAATATGGAAGTATTTTTAAAATCTTTCAGTTGTTTTTCATTTTCCTGAAACTGAAAAAAAATACAATATTTAAGAGTTTAATTTTTAGTAAGTCTTTAAGATGTGAAAAAAAGAAATGCACTCGGTCAAGAAATAAGCTTTTGTATACTTAACATGTTTATCTCAATACAAGCAAAAAATAAATAGTAATAAAAATGGCCAATAGTGACATTTCAGATTTAGAAACCTTTCACTTTACAAAATGTGTAATTCGTTAGGGATGTACAAAACATTCCATATATGAAACTGGCAATTTTGGATGGTCTGTGCCCAGGTTAAAACATTTTAGGCAGGAGACAAGGATCTCTTGACAGATATAGTGGAGATAAGGGGAATGAAGATGCAGGTGGGCTAGATGCATGTTAAGTAGAAAACACTCGCTGCGTCCTACTCACCCTTAAGACATGGCTCCAGATTTTATTTCTGCCAAAACTCATCACCAAATGGGGTTAATTCAGCTGAGCTGGGCAACTATATGCATTTTGTCCACACCCTCAGTATTGGTTAATTGTTTGAGTCTCCCATTCTCTCAGGAAATTCCTTTCTGTATCCAGAACATAACTTGCTTTGCTACAGTGTTGTCATTTTCAACACTAATTTCTCTGAAGTTGTTGTATTTCATTTTCCAGTTTTATTTGGGACATTTGTATAGCCACCCATCTTAAAACCAAATTCTGGGTGGCTTACAACCCAGTATAAACCACATACTCAGTTAAAACAAAACAAATGCAAAAATAGGAAAAACCAGACTGCGACCACACATCCCCGAGGCAACCCCATCGCATTCTCCTCCCACTATGACCTCACCCTATCCCAGCACTCTCCAGAAGGTTAAAAGGGTGGGAGCCTGTCAGATCTCCAGGACGAGAATGTTCCATAGGGCAGGGACCGGAAAAGGCATGCTTCTGAAGGCCAATTTTTTTTAAAAAAATTTAAATATTCATTTAATCAGCTTTAATTTTCAACTTAACTGTACTTCTCAATTCTAAACACAATATGCAATTTTACAAGCCAATAGTTTTTATAGACATCTTTTTGTTAGAATGTAGTGATAAAACCAGGAATACAAACTTAAGAAAAAGGGGCAGTTCATAGCTGAACAGTGGAAGAGGAGAAAATATGAAACAAAATTGGCAACCTCGTCAATGAACTATGCAATCATTCCGCATTTAAGTTTTCCACTGAACTGAACTGCAGCTTCAGGGCTCTTTTGGGTTTTTGAAGCTTGGAGATGGATTCCATGCATTTCTTTTGCCATTCAGGCAAGTCTGCACTAGCACTCAATAGTAACACTAGCCTTGGTCCTTAGCTCTAACTCCAATCAAAACAGCAAGAATCTATTTTTAAATTGAAAAAGCAAAGGATGTCCAAATAGAGTACAGAAGGAAGGAAAAAAACTTAAGCCTCCCAGCATTCTTGGAGTGGATAGGGAGAAGACAAATTTGTAGTTCAGTGGTAAACAACTAGGGCACAATATCAGAAACTCTGGCTTGTCTAATCACAATACTGTTGAAAGAGCATCTTGACATCAACCAGAAAAAGACATTCGCTATTGTAACTATCTGTAGATGATCTATTACAACTGAAGCTTATTGAATTCACCTCATTTGGTAAGTTATACTACTAGCTCCAGTAGCCAGAGAGTAGAATACAAATCAAAAACTTGCTATTCTATGTATGAGGTGTGAATGTTGCACACTTGCAGATGCACATGTCACACCATCTATAAAGATTAAAAGGGAAACCCAGAACTGCATCGCTGATGTCCCAAAAAGCATCCAATTCACCCAATGAAGTGAATATATAATATTTTATTGAACATTCAAACTTCATTAAGACATGTGCAATATGGCAATTTAATGGGTTTAAACCCCAACTAAGACAATAGTAATGATTGCTTGCAGGGTTTAGCAACAGGTTCCAGATCACACTTAACACTAATTAAATACTTTATTCAATAAATACATACCAAACAAAAATGCATTTTTATGTTCTTATAAAAGTTTAGTCATTTTGAAAGGCCTTTCCAATTTAGTCTAATATAGAATTATAACATACAATAAAGGTAGGTATGCTAGTTTAACATAATTGGCTGATTTTATACAGCACTTATACCTTTTAGTCCATAAGTAAATTATTAAATGATAAAGAACATCTAGCACTACCACTTCTACAGAACTAGGAAATAAATTTCTAATAAAGAAAAAATTTACAGACCCCATGACTTTCCACCCAACCCCAACAGTCTAAACCCTAAAGAGGAGAAAGCCAAAGGCTCTCCCCCACAAAAGCTCACGACAAAATGTCGCTTCGCTTATCAAAAATCTGTATTTCTGATCCGTAATGAGCATTGAGACAAGATTCAATGTATCCCCCAAGAAAGAAGCACAATGCACGTTGTGGATCGCCTGGTCAGCAACAGCGAGCACTGCATTCCAAAAACATCTCATCCCAGGGATTAAATGAGGTCAGCCACATTCATTGGCATTTCCTCCACTGTAGTATTGTAGAAAGTCTCAATATCCCGAAGGATCCGCTTGTCCTCCTCAGTGACAAAGTTTATAGCCACACCTTTCCTGCCAAAACGACCACCTCGACCAATCCTGCAAACAAAGCAGAAACACTAATCAAGTCTTTTTTAAATGACAAAACCTGTTTTGGGGTGGGGGAGCCAGAAACTAGTATTGGCAGCCGTTGCCAGATTAATGTTATTACAATTTCATATACTATTTTTTTGTGCCAAGCATTTTAAAAGTAGCATAGCAAATATTGACTAATACCTTGACTATAGAAAGGCTGTCAGTTTTGGCGTAGAATAAGCAAGATACTACGTTCAGCATGACTTCCGAGTAGATTTATCTATCCCACTCCCTCCCCATTCTGGAGAACTTTGGCAAAAAGTTCTCCCACACCATTTCTTCTGAACACGGACAGAGCTTGATGTCAGCCTCCAAATTACCAAGCTTGTTTTAATCGTAAAGACTATCATTCCAATCATAGTTCTTAAAAGCCAAGAGTTAATATTGTATTTTCAAAGACACAAACTTATTCATCAGTGGGAAAACTTATCACCATGTCGGTCAAACAAAACAACTTTTTACAAATTACTTTATTGGGCACACAGTAGATCTACAGGTTGACAAACCCACAACTTCTGCTTCTACCTGGTCAAACCATTAAGAGCTTTTAAGACAAACATAGCTCACAACAGTCATTACAAAAGAAAAGTATATAAATACCAACTCGCTCTTTATGCAAACAGTGTGCCGCTTACGAATCCACGTCCTAAATTACGTCGTCGTTTCTGAGCACCATCTCGTCATCAACTGGGCTAGCGACTCCTGTATTTTTTTGTATCAAGTAATAAGGTACAATTTACTTCATTTACGGACAAAGCCACTAAGATAGACAACAGCTTAGGGAGATAAATTGAAAGTTCTACTAGAAGACACCAGAGAAAGAATCCCACTGTAAGAGGAACCAAAGAGAGCAGCGAAGGCATTGGCACAAAGAAATGTCCAATAAAGCAATATTAAACTAACAACAACTTTATGGAAAGCACAAACCTCTGGAAATGTTTTCCTAATCACAATACACACAATGCAACTTCTTTAAAACATGTTTGCAAACTTCAAGCATCTGCCAAAGAACATTAGTTTGGCAGTCCTTGGTATCTTAATAGCTGATAATTATCGAAAGATCCAATAAACTAAGTTTTCCCACTGTTTTGTTTCATTGGCTAATCAAGAAGCTCTGCCCCTCCCATCCTCATCACACTATGCACACGCGCATACACACACATTATATAATGCAAGAAAGCAAGAGAAATATGAAGATGTGCAGATTCTGAAGGGACTTCAGATTTGAAACTCAAAAATTCAACTAACCTGTGAATATAGTTTTCACGATTGGTTGGCAGATCATAATTTATAACCAACGATACTTGCTGCACATCAATGCCACGAGCCTGTAAACAAAGGCATAGCATCGAATGACATACTTCAAGTCTGCAGATTAAGGCATCTCAATTTTGCTGACCAAGATATAGTAAAGTACTACAGTTATGCAAATCCATAGCACAGCATGGACTTGCTCTTCCAACACCTTGAGAAACTCAGGTTACAATGACCTGCATCAAACAAATCCATTTTGGAGATGCATGATAAGCTCAATGACCAGTGAAACTCACCAGCAAATCAGTAGTAATCAGGACACGGCTTGATCCTGACCTAAACTCTCTCATGATAACATCTCGCTCCTTCTGGTCCATGTCACCATGCTGTATAGATTTTTATAATACAAAGAATGTTAATATTAACTAGCCGCCTTTACTTGCTTAAACTTTTGCTAGTCAATTAAAAAATGAACTTGTTTCAAGTAGTTTAGCAAGTTTTACTGTATTATACTGTGGACTAGACAAGATATCAAATAGATAGGACAGTCAGTAGACACAGGCATAATCCAGTATTTTATTTTTATGAATAGCAGAAGTGTTCACTCACAGAAAGAGGACCAATTCTTAAAACAAATTAAGGATCTACTGGGCCTCTGCTGTGTAACGTTTAACAAGTATGTTTGGAGTAGGCAGAAATACTTTCCCAGCCCTTCAATTCCACCCTATATAAGCTCCGGGAACTGGTATAAGGAGCACTTCCCAGTATTTTGCATTTAAACAGGATCATGCAACCTATCTTTAGATTGACTCTTACCAGAGCAGAAACAGTGAAGTCTCTTGCATGCATTTTCTCTGTAAGCCAATCTACTTTCCTTCTTGTATTGAGGAAAATAACAGCCTGGGTAATAGTCAAGGTTTCATATAAATCACACAGGGTATCCAGCTTCCATTCCTGTGAAGTTAAGGAAGCAATCGTAAGTACACAGGACTGTGCAAAATAAAACTCTAAGCACTCTGTAGTGTTGCACCAAGTCTCCAGACTAGGACACTGGACATTAAGAAAGAGGTCCACCCAAGTCATTTTGACGCAGTGCATTTCTTCTTCTTCCTGTGTGTACCGTGCTAGCATTACCACAAAAGCCAAGGAAATACCCCAACTTGTGCAGTTTTAGCATAGTGCTTGTACAAGAAGTAGCTTCAAACTAGTTCATCTTCCTTACCTCTCTCTCCACGTTAATGTAGAATTGTTTGATACCCTCAAGGGTCAATTCTTCTTTCTTTACTAGAATACGAATAGGGTCTCTCATGAACTTTTTGGTCACTTCTAATACATCCATCGGCATAGTTGCAGACAGCAATACAACCTGGTACAAAAAATTAAGGGATTAGTCTGCTTAAATATAGGACATTATTGTATGAAACCAAGCGTCTTCATCTGCTACGGAATCAAAACAGACAAAGATAGAATAGAGACAATTTTGTTTTATGCAGGGGGAACGACAATACAGCACTTAACAGCTACATTGTAACTTTTCCTGCACTGTTACAGCAGCCAGTTTCTAGACTGCATCAAGTTTGACTTTACCTGAATGTTTGTGCTTAACTTCTGAAAAATTTCATAGATCTGATCCTTAAACCCCCGGCTTAACATTTCATCTGCTTCATCTAAGACAAACATTTTGATCCACTTAGGTGCTACAGAGAAAAAAAATCAGAATCTGATTAAGCATTCTTATAAATAGTACTCTGCATTATTACTTGAGATTTTGCTTATTCTTTAACAAGAAAGCGTGAATTTTTAAACCAATATATCCTACAGAGATTTTAAATTAGAGTTTGATTACTTACACAGATAACGTCTATTTAACATATCAAATACACGTCCTGGAGTTCCCACCACAATGTGGGGAGCCTCTGCTTGGAGCTTCTGCATCTCATTGCGAACATTTGTACCACCAATGCAAGCATGGCAAGTTGCGCCCATATAATCTCCAAGTGCCAAAATAACCTTTTGGATCTGAAACAACATAAATCTCAATTAGTATTTTACTACTGCAGATCTCGTGTTTCCATTGGCATAGTTTCCCAATGGGTGCACAGCATACAAAGTGACAGACGCATCTCATATTTGATGAGCAACCTTTGTTTGAAAAGCTATTTCTACATACAAATACCATGTTTGAAGAAAAGTAATCACAACTGAAATTGCATGAAAAGGGAATCTTGGCTCTCTATAAAGTACACCTAGCTGAGAACCATTGGGCTGATTATACCCCCATGTCAAAAGCAGTAACGGGTACTTCTCTGCAGACAGGCAGAATCAACATACCCTTTTCAGAATTATCAGGTAAGTCTGATCCTCCTTGTTAGATGATAAAACACTAGGTGTGTGTAACTGTTTAAGTCTGAAACATTTCAAGTTCAAAACAAGCCCCTCTAACATCACCAGAAATGTTCTTAACTCAAAACAGCTTATTTTATGCCTTTGAGCACTTCCAAAATGATCTAGACATTATTGTTGAACGTCTCAAACAAGTTCAGGATAGCTATTCTGAACTTGGAGCAGTGTGCAAACTTAAAATGTTTGCACACCTAACTGTAAAATCACAGAGCTATGTTGATATATAATCAACTTATGCAGCTTATATGATCACCGACTTCTAAACAAAAAAGCTGTATTAATGCTCAAAATAACCTTGGACTTGTTGCTTTGTCCTCAAGGAATAACTATAAAAAAACAGTACAAGGCATCTTAGTTGTATGCCAGATGCATCAGGAATGTTTTTCAAAGATACTTTTGGCAATCTCCCCATGAATGTTTGTTGTATTTTGCCCCCTACAAAAAAAAAAAAAAAAGCACAGGATCGCTGTAAAATTGGCCTTTACTTTTATCAAAATTGTCAATGTTGCATGTACCAGAATACAAAATTTAAAGTATAGCACTGCAAAAATGCAGTTCAAAATAGAGATTAAGAGACTGACATACAGCACAAATTGCATGCATAGAGAAAAATAAGCTGATTACATGCACACAGCAGTTTTCATGTTGCACAACTGCATGTGTTATAAGAGTACCTTCTCTCACAGAGCATTTGTTTGTATTTGTATTGTTTTAATAATTTCCACATAAGCTCCTGCACAGGTATTACCACACTTCATTCTAGTATCTGTCTCAGTCACATCTGACCTCTCTCTATATATGTGACAAAAGGTAATGGGACAGAAGCCTGTTTCCAAATTTGTTAACCCAAGGGCAATAAGAAGTCATTTTTTGCATAAACTTGCAAGAAATACTGTCTCTCAGCTGTGACACCTGAAACCTATGCAACATGTAAGCAGCTTTTTAACTACACTATCAATACCTGTTGAGCCAGTTCTCTGGTAGGGGCCAATACTAGTGCTTGGGTCTCCTTGAGATCAATCTCCAACTGTTGCAGGATCGAAATAGCAAATGTGGCTGTCTTGCCAGTACCTGACTGAGCTTGAGCAATCACATCATACCCTAAAAAAAGGATAGATATTTACTGCTCTCACACAACACAGTAAGGATACAATTTAACTGTAGAGTTCCTTTTCAAGTGATCAGAGTTACAAATGTTCTCCATTTTAGGTCAGTCCCGAAAGATGGTATACCATCATCTCACTTCTCAAGGAAATATGTGCTCTATTTCCACCCCAAGGCAGAGAATTTCAGACCAAAACTTTCTTATATCAGCTGTAAATAAATTCTTCACAACTTGCTTACCTTTGATACATGGAATAATAGCACGCTGCTGAATAGCTGAAGGCTTCTCAAAACCATAAGCATAAATTCCTCTCAGAAGGGATTCTTTTAAGTTCATATCATCAAAATTGTCAACAATTTCATTCCAATTGCTCTGCAAGAAGAAATGTAGGTAAATTTTAATATACTTCATCATCTTTCCCCACACGCGTGTAAAGAAACTATCACTAAAATACTAACCTCAATGACACCATCAGGATCCATTCCCTCTGGGCCATGGTCTCTATCAAATAAGAGAAACACGTGCTGTTAACCAGATTTTAAGAGTTCCCAAATTCTTATCAACATAACATATCTGAAGGCTATCAACATGCAATGATTAATTATTCCAAAGATCATTCCTTGTCAACAATGACTGTACCGTTTTACCATTCTGCTAACATTACTCAGTAGCTATACAACACTGCAAATACTATAAAGAAAACCCCCTGGAAATAAGCAATCCCTCCCCAAAAGTTTATCACATTTCTTATCAATCTACCTGTACATTACATTATTTATTAATTATTAATTAATTTATTAATTATTAGTACATTATTTGTGGTGTGTACATTAGAAACGCATAGAGACTTAAAATGTATTTTTAAAATGTACAGATCTCTTCTGAAGGTTTTAGTATGCATTTAATTTATGGACTACCTCTCCAGGTGCCCTCAGAGTACTTTCCCCACCTTATGTTATCCTCACAACTGCAGGCTGCCTATAGGGTAGGCCAGAATGAAAGATAGCAACTGGCTCAGTGGGAACTTCACCTGGCCTTCCCCATCCCAATTCAACTCTTTACTCACTGCATCTCATTGACTAGTAAGGAATGCATGAGTGCCAAACAGTGGCACTATGAAAAGCAGCCTGCATTGAAATATTTAAGCCTCAGCCACCAGCCATCGCTCAGCCTTCTCCTACTTGAGAAAAAAAAGCAAACTTTTATCAAGGGTTCTGCACTGATCTCGAATACCAGTAGTAATACCCTGGGGAAGTCAAGCCTCTGGACCCAGAGTGACTAATGATGGAGCACGTTGCTTTGCTTCTGCCGTAATACTTGGTCTTTATAAGGAATTTGGGTAAATTTTGTTTTGTCCCCAGAAATCTTTAAAGTGTTAAATCTATTTCCATTGCTTTTAAAATCTAATCCTATAAAAGAACACAACACTCTGTCCAATTCCACTAACATTGTTTTTTTCCTTTCCCTCACAAATACATAATATTGCTCAGAGCATGCTGGCTGGGGAATTCTGGGAGCTGAAGTCCACACATCTTAAAGTTGCTGAGGTTGAGGAACACTGGCTTAGGGTCTCTCTCCCCTGAAAGTGCACCTGCAACACCAGTGAGCAGATCAGGCCTACTTATTCCATATGCAGGACTTTGAGACATCTCATACTTGCCCCTCATGCTACTATGAAGATATGAGTTCAGATATAAGGAAGACTTTTGTGAAAAGGACCTATCATCACCTCAGACAAGAGAATGGCAACTGTATACTGTACACACTGTAGCTTTAGCTAAATCAGGTAACGACCTAGCAGATACCTGCATGCAACACATGTATGCTTAATCCTCGGTTAAGTTGGGGGACAGCATGGCGAGTTGGGCAGATCCAGTCAGTTTAGGATTCCACGTGCAAAGACTTGATGCGGTTGCCAAGTTAACACTTTGTACGTGGAACTGACTGGATTGAAGGACGCTGGCTTTAATCCCGCCTGTGTGCCCGAAGAGCTCATGGAAAGATCAGGGATAACAAGCAACCCAACGTGGGAGAACTGGAAGCAGAAAAACCCAATACGCTTGTCTGGCTATTTTGGGAGGGGGGCGAGCTTGTTCTTCACTTTACGGAGAAAATTGGGCAAGCGAGGAAAACGTGTTCTGGGAACGTACCTCCGCGGTATTCCGGGCCTCATCTTCTCCCCACCCCGCCCCGCCAGGTCTGCCGAACTCT